AAAACCCCCCCCCCCCCCCGCCAGCCCGCAGAGAAGGCCCCAACTCTGCCTCTGCAGTGGAAGCCTGAAAAACTCTGGGGAGCAGGACGCAGCAAGAGGATCTGTGGGCTTCAGATTAATTAAAGTAAAGGGATTTATCTTCTGTCTACCTCAGGGGCCAAGAATGGCTATGGAAAGATCATCGAAAGGACCGAAATTCTCTGGCTGCCACTGTGGGAAGCTGGTGCTCACAAGGAGCCTATTACAGAGAGGTCCACTTGGGCCTCGGGGACTCATCCGGGGTGCTGCCCTCCATCCGTGGGCTGTCGACCCGACCGAGCCCCAAGAGATACTTACTGAGATCCTCTGAAAGTTGGGGGAACTCGTATATGTGCTCACAAGTGTTCCTGCTGCAGGGGATGCAGAAGCCAAAATCAAAGTCAAAATTCTTGAGAAGACGGTCTCTGAAGTAATGCCTCTCAATCATCCGGAAGTTTGATACTGGCTTGTCTCCCACTGTGAACTCCACCCTGCAGAGAGAAAAATGGGCAACCGCTGGAGCATCCAGCCATCTCCTAACATGCACAGGACAAGGAAGGTGGCTCTGGAGTTCTGCCCTAGAGATGGCACTTATGCTGGCGAGGCAGCATGAGTGACCTAGGAGGAGGGCCCAGCTGCAGGATGACAGAAACCCGCACGGATTGTAACTCTTAGAAGAATCTATTTCCAGGGTTTAAAAACATAAATCAGTATTTCTCTCCCTCTGGTTGCAAAGAAATGCTGGACTAGGAGGAGGATACCCAGTGACCAAGGATCAGGGCTTCAGGTACAGCGCAACTAAGAATTCAAATTAGTGGAACAAATTTGGCAAAAAGAATAAACACAGCAGGTATCTTTCATTTGATTCATACAAACTGCAAAATTCCAGACTTCACTTTGGAATTTTTTTTCTTTCTCCATTGTTTTTTGAATGTCTTGCACCGGGGGTGACTCACAAACACATACAAACAATAACATAAAAAACATTAAAAAAAACCATCAAAGAAATGCTGGACTAGGAGGAGGATACCCAGTGACCAAGGATCAGGGCTTCAGGTACAGCGCAACTAAGAATTCAAATTAGTGGAACAAATTTGGCAAAAAGAATAAACACAGCAGGTATCTTTCATTTGATTCATACAAACTGCAAAATTCCAGACTTCACTTTGGAATTTTTTTTCTTTCTCCTTAAATACTCATCTAGGAGTGCTGAATTAATTAATCCATTAATTAATTAATTAAGTGCTGATTTCACTAATCCAGACACATTTGGTTATGCTTCGGTGGCTGGTGCTGAGGCAGCCACAGCAGCACTGTGGTCTCTCCACCCCATCAGCTTTTGCCCAGACTCACGTTGCCCCAACTGTCCGGAGACGCAGGAAGGCAGGAGTGAACTGATAGCGAACAAAGCGTCCGGCGCTGGTGTCCACCTCCCCAAGGTCACACTCTTCCTCCTCTTGCTCTGCAGGAATTAACAGGTAAAGAATTCAGGAGGTGTTGATATGGTTGCAAGACTAATCAATAAAACTGATACTGATTGATTGATATTGAATTCACGAGGTTGGCTGTGTGGGCGTCTCATCAGCCTGAAGCATGCCTGAGTTGTGCCCTTCTGGAAGTGGGGCCTCTCCAGGAAAACCCCACGGCCACCGCCTGCACTTCTGGTCTTAGGCTTTCTGGGGCCGACTCTGTAATGCAGCCAGAACCAAGGTCAGGAGCAGGAACTGCACAGCAGCAAGTATCAAAGCAGAATTTCTGACACAGCCTTGCTGGACCAAGCTAACACAAACCTAAATGTGATCTGGGTTAACAAACCAAAGTGCTGTGACAGATGCCTTTGCGGCATTTGGAATAATGCATGGAACCCGTATTCAGACAGAAAGTTCTCCCAGAGAAGCCCGCTTAAGGACACCGAACACCCCAAGAATGCTTGAATGGTGTCACTGAGGATGAGGGGGGGGACCTAAGCAGTTCCAGCCAGCAGGGCCAATGGTGAAGGAAAAGGTGAGGAAGAGATCAAGAACATCTGCATAATGTCGGACTGGATTACTGCAACGTACTCTACATGGGGCTGCGTGGGCAGTTAATGGCGCCGGTTATTCGGCCCGCGTGACACCACTGCTCCACAAGCTGCACTGGCTGCCAGTTTGCTTCCAGGTGCAATTCAAGGTGCTGGTAGTTACCTTTGAAGCCCTACACGGCTTGGGGCCGGGTTATTTATGCTACGGGACTGTCTCTTCCCAGTTGTCTCCACCCATCCTATCTGATCTGGCAGGAGGGGCATGCTACGGTTACCATCGGCCAAGCAGTGTTGGCTGGCAGGGCCCTGTAGGAGAGCCTTTTCTGCCATGACATCTGCCTTCTGGAACATCATCACTTCAGAGATTAGGTTGGCCCCAACCCTGCTGGTCCTCCGCAGGGCCTTGAAGGCCTGGTTCTGGGCTCGAGCCTGGGGCCTCGGGTGTGTGACAGAGTCCGTTTCCTGGCTATGCTGAGGATTTTCTTGCGATTCTTCAGCTACTGTGTGTTTTATTCCTTGTTTTATTTTGTATTTGTATTTTTTTTGTTTTAATGTTGTGAGCCACCCGGAGTCATCTAGGAGTCATGTACTGAGATGGGCGGCTATGTAAATCAATTTAAACAATAAATAAATAACTTCAGGTGCCCTGTCCCCGATTTCCAGACCAAAACTTCTTCAGCAATATTCGGACTAAATAAAGGGGGGAGAAGGACCAGAAGGAAAAGCAAACACAAACCCACCACTACACATTTTTACAGGTAGAGTACACAAACTCAGGAAAGAAGATAACTAGGGAATTTACCAATATTTGCTTAACACACAAAAATGGTGTTAGACGAACCTCAGGAAGCACGTTTGCAATTAAAAAAAGAGAGTCGTCAGTCCCGGAAGACCTAATAGAACTGCCACCTGAGAAACAGTTCCTGAAGTAATGGCGAAAAGGGCAACACCAACTCCAGTAATTTCTTAGTTTGATAAATTGAGCTATGGCAGCCTATGCCTGGAGCTCCAGAGGAACCCAAATTGCTTGACAACAGCAATATGGAAAAAACTGGACCATTGCAGGAGAGGACTCAAATCCCGGGTTAAGTTTTCAAAATCATAAATCACTGCAGTTGGAAGCAAGACATCCTCCCAGGCACTTTTAACTGTTAGTTGGGTTTTGCGATTCATAACATCGTCCCATTTCTTTACACCAAGCTTACCTAAAGTTGAAGGTTTGGCAATTTCAAATAGCACTGTCCCAGTCTCTAGGTCCCGGATTTTAAACTTGGTGAAGTCGATATTGTAGATGTTGTCTTCGGGTCGGCAAAGGTAATCTAGAAGAGAGGAAAACAGAAGTGATATTGAGAAGCAACACTGAGGATTCAGCCCTCGGGTGGCAACAGAGAAGTTGCCTGGCCCTACCAACAGAAGGGTCTTTGCAATCAGGACAAGGAAGCGCTGCTTCCCACCACAGCAGACAATACTGGGGAAGCCTCTCACCCGAGGCTCCTGAGCAGTGGTCAAGAGAGGCGCCCGATTAAAGCACGGGAGGCAGAGCAGAGCACAGTGTGGAATCAAAACGCAGGACACAAAGGCAAAACAATCAAGGCTTCACCGCAGTGTTTATTAGGCAGTACGCGCTGAAGGGGGACCCCACCAAAGGTTAGTGGGAGACACTCCCCCGCAGGCAAAATGGACGCCCTGACATTTATACAGTTCTACAAGAAAGGGGAAGGGAAAAGAGCACATACGTATACATATTCATACGATGATGCAGGCATACCTAAATGAGCAATACTTCTCAAGTTACTTTCTGTCCCCGTTCTTGGCTGCTATCTACAAGGATAGAACAACTGCTCTCTATAAGGAAAGCAATAGTGTCAGAGGGGAAGAAACAAATTGTTCAAGGTGCCAACTGCC